ACGAAACCAATGATCAAATGTGTGCACAGTTTGGCAGAAATTATATAATTGACTGCAATTTCAGGATCTGCTCGAAGATAACACACTCTTTTGAAGTCATGCGTTACTGTTACTCCCATTTCAATGAATAAAAGTATTAAAAATAGAAAGTAAAACATTTCGACTAAAATTTAAAACATTTAATAAATATGCATTAAATTCAATAATAAATACATTTTTAAAAGCACAATTAACTATACATTTATAAAAACAATCACGTTACTTTATACATTGACCATACGGTACATTGTAAATAATATTTTTTAATGAAATAATTTTTATTTAAAAAATATTTCATTTATTTTCGCAATAGTCTATAAATAAGTGAAAAGTTAGTGACTTATGAAAACTTGATTTGAATGCTATGTTGACCTCAATTGTGATCACAATTATTAGTGCACTAAATCCTATCTAACAGTAATATATGAATAGATTTATGAATATGAATATAAATGTTGTTTACGGAAAATATTTACTTGTTTATCATAAACTTTATGACAAGAGCAAATGTTATTGATTGACGGTACCTGGTTCAACTGACTTAAAAAATAATTCACAGAAATCAATATTTTTATTACTTTTTCACATTTTCTAATTAATTTCAACTTTTCTAAGTTTTCTAAGTTTTCTATTATACTTCCAACTCATATAAAATAAAATTGAATTTGTGTATGGGTTTTGAGAATGTCATTACAAATGTTGTAATATCTGGCCATCCTCCTTTTATGTCATAAAGCTTAAAGTATTACTTTTTACGATTCAATGATACTGTTTTAAAAAATTATAATCTGTTATTGTACCTTGACAGTAAGTGATTATTTTATTACAGTAAGAATTTTATAATTTACACATTATTTTTATATTTAAAAGTTTAATAGTAATATACAGTAGAGTACAGTACAATTCTGTAGTGTAATCTTAACATACCTGTGTAATTTGTTACTATCTTATATTATCATAATTATCAAGTTGGAAGTATAATAGAAAACTTAGAAAACTTAGAAAAGTTGAAATTAATTAGAAAATGTGAAAAAGTAATAAAAATATTGATTTCTGTGAATTATTTTTTAAGTCAGTTGAACCAGGTACCGTCAATCAATAACATTTGCTCTTGTCATAAAGTTTATGATAAACAAGTAAATATTTTCCGTAAACAACATTTATATTCATATTCATAAATCTATTCATATATTACTGTTAGATAGGATTTAGTGCACTAATAATTGTGATCACAATTGAGGTCAACATAGCATTCAAATCAAGTTTTCATAAGTCACTAACTTTTCACTTATTTATAGACTATTGCGAAAATAAATGAAATATTTTTTAAATAAAAATTATTTCATTAAAAAATATTATTTACAATGTACCGTATGGTCAATGTATAAAGTAACGTGATTGTTTTTATAAATGTATAGTTAATTGTGCTTTTAAAAATGTATTTATTATTGAATTTAATGCATATTTATTAAATGTTTTAAATTTTAGTCGAAATGTTTTACTTTCTATTTTTAATACTTTTATTCATTGAAATGGGAGTAACAGTAACGCATGACTTCAAAAGAGTGTGTTATCTTCGAGCAGATCCTGAAATTGCAGTCAATTATATAATTTCTGCCAAACTGTGCACACATTTGATCATTGGTTTCGTTTCCATTGAGAGCAATAGCATAAAAGTGAATGCCATCAATGATCACTTCATCCAACACTGCAAATCAGTCATCAATCTCCACAAAAGCGATACTCAATTAATGATCTCAATCGGCGGTATGTTATCACCAAATGTCAAACTTCTTAAATCTTTTTATTAATTATGAAACAAATTGAACCAACATTTAGGCGGTAATAATGATAACGGTTTTCATTCAACGGCTTTAACTCCCGGTAATCGCAAACAGTTTGCAAACTCTGCGATCAATACTCTACTTAAATATGGTTTAGACGGCTTAGACATAGACTGGGAGTTCCCGGGATGGGCTACTGTCCACTATAACGATAAGAATACCTTTAATTTGCTTCTTAAGGTAAAAGATCTTGAGAATAGTTTAAAATTTGAGAAAAGTTTAAACATTTAAAACATTCATAGGAAGTGAAGCAAACGTTTAGAGAATATTCTGTGAGAAGTCATACCAAAGACCTGGTGTTGAGTGTGGCGGTGGCCGCCCAGTACACCATCATTGACCGGTCATACAGTGCCCCTCAACTCAACCAATACGTGGACTTCATAAACCTCATGGCTTACGACTACTACCTCTTCCACTGGTACTTACCTGTCGTCGGCCACAACAGTCCCCTCTCATCCCGATCCTCACGCATACCACTGTTCACTACATTCAGCACTCAGTGGTCGGCCAACCATTGGCACCAATTGGGTGTCCATAAGAGTAAGATAATGGTAGGCATACCCACGTATGGCCGCAGTTTCCGTTTGGCCTTCCGGTCGTTCACATCACCCGGAAGTCTGGCGAAGAGTAGTAGTCAAGACATGTCTTACTCACAGATCTGCCAATTCCTGGACACAAAGGGAACTACTGTTGCCTTCGATGAAGAATCGGGAGTTCCCTACGCTTTCAGAGACAACACTTGGATTACGTATGAGAGCAAAGAGAGTGCCCTCAAGAAGAGCACATGGATTAGGGATAATGGGTTCGGAGGTGTCATGACATTCAGCCTCAATGCCGACGACTTGACCGGTCAGTGCCATCACAACCACTCCTTTCCTATCCATCACGCCATCAACTCTGTGGCCAAACAGTGACCACAAGTCTCAACTGCAGGTCACTGAATGGCATCCAATCCATGCTTTAGTCCCATCTAATGCTATCGCCCTCTCATTCATACATTTGTTTTAATGTCGTTTTAATTTTATTTGTTTTCATTTATATATATTTTGTTTTTAATGAAATAAATTCTATTTATTGTACATTGAGTACAGATTTGTGTGACAATTGAGTGACCATTGGATGAAAGGAAAGGTTAGTGCAATCAGCGGTTAATCTGATTAGCAGCCAAACTACTGGTGCCATACATGACCTTATGGGCCATAGGCTATGGCTGTACTATAAGCCCCTTTTTAACACTTTATGACAAATTGAAAACTTTTGTCAATATTTCATGAGAAATGGCAATAATGTGCTAATTGTGTCACACGTCATGTGTCATAGGATCGCATGAAACACACACTGGTTGGCCAGTCGTGTGAACCCATGACTCCACTCCACGTCTAACAAAGCGTTTCATATGACTGCACACAGCATCACTTCAATTGACACTCATTTGCATCGTGCAGACACATCAATGCAGACCACTATGTCTTCAGCGGATCAGTTGTCACGCATCAGACACTCTCTGACCACCAGAAGGGCTCAAATCGTGGATGAGATGAGCGAGAAGAAGATAATCAGCAAAAAGCAATGCTTGCAATGGATGGATGAGTTGTACGACATTGTGATCACCGCTGACACGGACACCACCGCCACACGAGTCACCAACAGAC